TATAATTTTCACATATTATTAAAATACTTACTGTAATTATTTTACAATAATAAATACGTATTTATTATTTTATTATATTATGTCTTGTATACAAATTTCAGCACCGAATTTTACATTAGTATTATTATTTCACGTCACAAAAAGTATTACACGTAATGAATCACGACTCATTGCAGTTAAATCAATAATCGCGAATCACTCGTGTTCTTCTCGAGCTTCGATGTGCAGAATGCCTGATTACTGATTACGACAACGTTATTTAATGACAGGGGGAATAATGGCCAGGGCTTCAAAACGCGTTCGGCGGTTCGGTGATATTTTGCTAGACAACAATCCATATTAATGACACAACCGCATTAAATTTCGTGAGTCAACGACCCGGGTCGAACCGGCATACTATATCCCACCGCATGTGCTAAAATGTTCCACGTCGTCACCGAACTGGTAGAGGGCACGTGATTCGATTACAAAAGTAACCCATGCGAAAAGAGGAATAGTCGGACCGAACGTTATTAAATTTCCGTTTTGACCTTTGTGCGGTTAATTGGTGGATCAATTTCACTTAGAATCTACTCATAAATCTTTCATTTTTATATATCAATTTATTACGAATTATTAATCGAATCTTTTTTGCATTCTTCAATCTAATAAATTATTTTGTTTAAACGATCAAACATGTCTTTCACTTTCTATCGACAGTGAACAAAATTAAATTTTACTGTTATTAAAACGTCTCTTGTATAATTTTAATTAAATAAAACAGGGTCCATTTTATTATTTGCAAGAATTTGAGAATTATTGTACAAAGTCATGCACCTTCGTACAGCACACGTGAAATCATGGACTCGTATTACTTTTGCCTGTTCAGGATAAAACTACTTTTAACTGCTCCAAGAATTTCGCGCGCGAATTGTTCTCAATTTAACCAGCACGGAATTCATGCGAGCTGTCCGGTGCAGTAATATGCACAGAGAATATTTGAGTTTCGAGTAAATAACAGATATGACTTGGCCGCGAGATGTGACGCGACTGCCGCGTATATTAAGCTCATGAGTAATTAACAACGACGAGTGTGGTAAAATTACATTCAACATGGCTTCGACAATTAACTGATAGAATGATAAAAAGCAATAATATATCATCAGTAACATAAGACAGTGAATGTACTCGGGGAATAATATTTTCAGGTGTGTTTTAATATTTTAAAACATGAAACAACGATAATGAAAATTTACGACTGCAACGAAATTAGGTCAACGCTCAATTCTTGCTGGAACAATTAGTTCCGCTGCTAACCGTATGAAAAATTCTACAGTTCACGTTGATGTAATTGACGTTCCTTCTAATTAATCGAACGATTCGATTACAGTGATTAGTGATTTCGACGTTGCTGGGAATATTGCTCAAATGACAAGAATCTGGACGTGCCATTTGCCATTCTGGTAATTTTACGGTTTATAATCGTGCCGAGCGAAACGGCCATCCGATGAACCAACAATAACGCAATACAGTAGAACGTAACGGGACACAAGCGAAATTGCAACACACGACCGGCCGGCAAGTAAAGATAAATTTTAATAACTAATATACGATTTTACTATAAATTAATTATTGTTTAATGAGCAGTAATCCTTAATACTTCGCAAATATAT